TGATGACAGTGGGATAATCACCTCTCTTGACCAGCTGGTTATGCTGTGTTTGATGCAACCCAGGATGCAGTTTGCCCTCTTGGCTGCCATGCATACTGCTGACTCCTATTGAGCCTGCATAATTTATAAAAATATAATTTATATATTTTTTTTAACATTTGCTTTGTTGATTCATGAAATCATGGAAAACATTAAAATTAGGAACACTATACACAGAAAATTTTGTATGTCTGTAGCATGGGAAGCAAAGATAAACCACCGATTCTCCTTAATACAATAGCAAATCATAATCTGCAAAAAGCGTCATGTAATTTCTGGATTTAGTTTTCAGATATAGAAATGCCCCAGATAGTATCTTAAACCAAGAGAAAAAAAAAAAAGAAAAAAGAAAAAAAAGTATACCAAAAGCATGAGTTTATCGTGGGGTGCACTTCAGGTTTTCCTCACTCACAGTTACCCCCAGTTCAAAATAAGAGCTCTTTTATCCTTTAACCATTTCAGGCATTCTGTAAACACTTTCCCTAGCTGCCTACACATCTTTAAAGTTCTCTACATTCAGAGAAGCTGTCAAAAATATTGTAGACACCAATGATGCATATTGCAAAAGTTGCTAGAAGTCTATTTGCTTTTCCATCTTTTCAAATCCTCGAGGACTTTGTAGCCACTCCAAATAAAAGCCAAGCTTTTCTTTTGCTCAGGTGTCTGTGACACAAAGCAAGCTGGTTCTTCAAGTATAAAAGGTAGCTTCAGCAATGTCTAGGCTTGTCTGGAATCAAATACTTCTTTGCTTACTTCACAATACAAGCACAAGTTCTTGAGTATTCTTGCCTACTTACCTACCACACCTTTCCTGAGCAGCCTGGAAAAATACTCACACACCTTTTATAACGATGTTTTCCACGGCTTTGGAAAAATAAGCCTCCTCCTCCAAGCACTGGATTGGAGTGGGGTCAAACAGTAAGGACATATGTCTTGACATTAACCTTTACACAGCTTGGAGACTCCATCTCTTTTGTGTACTGGAAACATTTCTTAGTAGACATCTTCCTCTTCAGATGGGAAACCACCAGTTTTTCTTCTCTGACTCATAGCAGAGATGATGAGCACCTGGACACTGAAGCCTCTTTGTTCAGGGAGCAATCCTGTTCATGCCATGCCATGCCAGCTGCTGGGAACACTGCTCACACCACAAGGAGAGCTCTGATGCTCCATCGCTGTTCCTCCTCTTTCCCACATCATCTTTACTGCTCTGCTGACTGAAGCTGCATGGTGGTCCATTAGAAGCAATATTCCCAAATAAAGGGTCCACAAAGGAAACTATTTTGTTCAAATCTCTATAGTTCACTATTCCTCAGGCATCAGAAACGCTGTGCTATTTGCAAGTCCACCTGCCTGCACAATTTCCACATAGTTAATGCCAACGCCTTGCGAGTTGGTACTCCGCACTACACCCTTCAGTTGTCCTCAACAGAAGAGCCTGTCCCCTTCCCAGACTTGTTCCCACTCACAGATTTTAAAAGGTCAGCGAGCCAGGAATACTGTAATTTAAGTGGAGACCTGTGTGTATAAAATAGTTAACAAAGAAAATACATGAGGCCGAAATAATGAAATACCCGAATGCACCGAGTGAGGTAAGAAATATTAAACTTGTACCATGACATGTCAAGCAAACAGACAAGACCCATGCAACATTATGTCCATATGACCCCAGTGTGAAAACTATGGCTCTTGCTAGATTCTGACTGGTCATGCACCCGGCATCCTGAATAAAGAATCCCTGTTGGTTTTTTCTACTTTCACACTGGAAGTGATAGTACAATAACCATCATGAGAGAGAACATACAACTGTCCTGCTAACCACACCAAAGCATATATAGTCATTAAAATGGGAAGACCAAAGAAAGAATAAAACTCATGTAAGCCAAACCATTAAAACCTGCTATGAATTGAACCTGAGATAATAAAAACTCCTTTCATATTCATTTTTAAGGAGAGGTATCTCTGTAAAAAAAAAAAAAAAAAAAAAGAAAAAAAAGAAAAAAAAAAAGCATTCTCCATTCTCATTTAAAAGCCAAACACACTGTGACAGTAAAACACACGGAGCATTAGCATGTGAAAGAAACATGTTGCAATTGTGTCAAATACTGCTTTTTATATTTTATTAACAAGCAAGCATCCCTGGAACTGAGTCTATATAAAAAATAGTTCATTAACCAATCAGGATATAAGGGAGTTATATAAATTTATTTTATGCAACTTTGATTAGTTTTGAAAATTCCCATTTTTAATGTTTTAATTTCATCTTTTATTTTAAAAAAAAAAAAAATCACTAAAAGGACACAACCCACAAAAATACAATCTGTATCTGCTCTATATTTACAGATAACTGGTCACTATTAAGGCACAGATTTAAAACTAACATTTTTATGTAGCAAGTCAAATATTTGTGCATAATATAACACTAACAATACGGTACACTGTACTGTCATATTCCCTTTGTGGAATCAAAATAAGTGAGAAATTTTTTTCTTCCAGTGTGTTCTTTTTTCTGTGAAGCCCTATTGGAAAATAATGTTGTAAATGGGAAATTCTTCACTTTGGTGTAGATGATATAAGCACTGCTCAGCAAAAGACCACATCAACTTAATACTGTAATAAAATCAGTTTCTGAATATAGTACTGTCTAGATACATAGTATGTACTTACGAAAGACTAGAAAAATCTAAGAGTGTAAAGGTTTTTTGATGCTTTTAAGTTTAGACAAAATAAGCAAGGAGGGGTTGCAGAAAATTCTGTACAAAGTGTTGCTGAATATTTATTTCATTAAAAATATTTTATAAAATTAACATGACTGAATACAATTTGATTTGCAAACACTGGTCTTGCAAATGCAAACATTTAAATGACAGCTTATCTGTAAGCACATAAGTAGTCCACGTGAATGGAACTATCTACATGCTTAGAAGAAAAGGACAAGTGTAAATAAGAAGTTGTGGCTTCCACGAGGGTTTCCATGAATTTGCTCTTGCTCGTGTAACACACATACACACAAAATATCTCACAGATATGTGGATACTGACTTCTGGCATTTGAGCACAGTAACTTTGATGTGAACAACTGCGTGCGTATAAGATGCAGTTTTATCCATTCAGATCTCTAGTACAATTTTAAAACCAGAGGAAGCTAACTGCTACTTGATCTACAGGGGAAGTCACCCAGCTATACACCATTAAGTAGATATGGCTGAAATGAGTACTGAGCAGTTATTTTTTGCTGACCACAACAAGATTTTATATTATTGCTTGATCATCTATGCCCTCAAGTAATAGTTTCTTTAAATTCCCTTTGTGTGTGCAAATTTATTCTATACATAATTTTGTATTCTCACCTTAAAAGAAAGAATTATCCATGGAAAGTGTCAAAACTATTTCTCACCCATTTCTGCATAAAAACCAACTACTGTAAATGTTATTCTAATGCCTTCTGTTAAGAGCACTTGACAGTGGTTTATGTCCATCTCAAAAGGCTTGTACACTAAACATAAATAATACATTACAGTAGAGGTAATTCACAATATTTCTTATGGGAATGCTTTTCAACAAATTAATGCTTAGAAACTTCATACTGCATTGCAGAAAGAGGCACTTTATGAATTCCTTCATTATATCAGAACCCTTCATTAACCCATAACAAGACATCTGTAAAGACAGAGGAATAATATTGCCAAATTATTTGGACTTTCACAGTATAAGAATGCAATAGTTAGCTCTAGCCACTTAGAATATGGACTCTTTCTGCTGAACATAACTTGTTTCAGAAATAGTTCATCTCCAGAGTTTTAAACGCTTCTGCAGCTGACAATTACAAATCTAGGTTGAACAAAACAGATGCTATTACATCTATTTTATGTAGGTCGCTTAATTGCTGCATGCATAGTCATGTAAGTAATACGCGTCATTTATTAAATGGCAACAGTGCTGTCTTGTCAAATTAGATTAGTTGTTTGGTTAATTAAACTGACAGCCCAGAGCTCTAGTTTGATGAATGCCTTTCATTCTCTACCATAAATCTGCAGTAGATCAGTTTAATCCGTTACGTATTGTAGGTGTACAGAATCTAAAAATAAAAGTCTGATATAAATAAGTGTCCTTTAGTGGCAGGGTACTAAAAATAGCCCTTTGCTTTGAGACAACCATTAAAAACAGTTTTAGCATAACAGGCAGCAGTTAAATATGATGACTGCAAAGGGTTAATATTGCAAGGTCCATTTTGGTCTTTCATGGCATCTGTTACAGTGAGTGAATATTATTGCAAGCAGCATTAGACTGCTGCATAAGAGCGTAATAGGACTGGTCCACTACCAAGTGGCTTGATTTTGGAACAATCTCTTCAGATAACTACCGGGGAGACAGAGAGAGGGACAAATCTGCATAAGAACCAGTCTCTAGTACCATTATAGTGAGATGTGACTTAATGCAGGAACACCTGAAAAAAATTTGATTAGTGCCAATATAAAAATTGATATGGAAATGAAAGAGAGAAATAAATTTCCACAGGACAAGAGATCAGAACATGTAAAGTGCAGAAAGACCTCAATAATTATTTTAAGCAGTACCAGAAAAATCCATCTTGATAAAACCAAAATCTATGCTCTCTGGCATCCCAGCTCTTCATTCTTCCTTCATTCAACAAAGTAAAAATTCAGTGCATACATTATAGTTATAGGTAATAAAATACTACACAAAGAACCCTATATTATTATTATTATTATTGCAAATTCTGTCCAATCTACATGAGTAAAATATAACCCACATTTGGTGTTTTGAAAGACAACAGACAAAATGTGTTTTCTGTTTTTTTTGGCACAATATTGTGCAGACGAAATGCTTTGGTCCTTGACACCCAAACTCCCAAAGTGCAGAGGGTGGTGTGCAGTGAAGGCTGTCCACAGGATTGCCATGTCCATCTTTACAGCTGACTTTTTGAGCCACAACTTACTGCTACCAGCGACCGCTGACACTAGCAATGTCCGAATGATACTGACGTGGCAGTCTTCCACTAGCTCCACCTTCCAGGAATGAGGCACGTATGTTTGATGGGTCAAAGAGCTTTCTTCGGTTTTTATTCAGTTCTAGAAAGGTCATACAAACACACACACAAAAAAAAAATCTTTTATCAGAAATTAATTTTAGTATTTTGATCTAAACCAAAAGCAAAACTACTACTGGAGCAAACAAAATATTGTAGACAGAACAGTATGATCTGAAAATGTCTGTGAGGCACTCGTTCAATTTAACAGTTCAACAGGACAGTAAGAGTGCCAGGTTAAGCCTCAGAGGCTGCTTGGGATGCAGGCATCTATTTGGTGTAATTCTTAATTGGCACTGATACTGTGTGGAGCAGGTAATATTTTGCAATATCTATTTAGATCAAATTGATACAGCTGAAACACTTCAAAAAGGCTCTGTTCTAGTACTCAAAGGCTGCAATCTTTCTGAAGGTACATGCACACAGGATGTACATATGGCTGCAGCACAACCATGCAATGTAAAACGAGATGACAGAACAGCTCATTAGCAACTTGAATCACTTCTCAATGCACAATTCTTTTTTAAATACAACACTGAAGGAATATTTTAATAAGGACTTTTTTCAGATGCTCACCTCTCAGTCAAACACGCACCCTAAGCTTGTATTAGCAAATGCTCATCCAAAATGTTTTTC